CAAAACAACTACCTAGCTTATTAATTATCTTCTTTATCAGAAGAAACTGTATAACTCTTTTGCCTAAGCCTGGTTGACGTAGACCTTGACGCATGATGTAATAAAGAATTATTGACAATTGTGATATTCTAAAAATAATATAAAAAATAAATTATCTATCATTTACCAAATCAGTTAGAGAACTTTAGTAAAATCATACCTGCAATGTTAATAAAGTCTCCACAAACTGTGTCAAGGTTCTCCATCAGTTGGCTGTACCAGGATTACAACTGAGCATAAATGGTAGAGGCGCTGAATATCATCCACATCTTTAATAATAACTTTTAGATGCATTGTTTGTCCTACAAGATAGTCTTTAATCTCAGATTTATCAGATAATTCACCAAATATAGAAAATAGGAAACATACCTGCTACTTGGATTCCAAGAATTCCGAATTCATTTTTATCTGGTCTACAACTGCCATGGACATATGCCATACCATCATTCATTTTCCATCATAATTTAATTTTGTCATTTTCTTCTTTACTTTCAATACATACCAAGCGAGTTTTAATGTTGATGGGAAGCACATAAGTACCAATCCCATTGAATTCTTGGTTGTTGGACCAGATTGGCCTGGGCCTGATTTAGTGTTAGGAGACCCATGGTTGCAAAAAAATGGTGCAATGATTGATATGTGTAATAGCCAACTTATCTTACATGATAATTTTACAATTCCAATTGTGGAGAATAAATAGTGAATCCGAAACTGAACCTGAGACAGACTCTTCCGATCCAGATCGCCCATATAAAAACGTTTACTGAGATTGCCCATAGAAAAAAAATAAGCATAATTATAATATTTTTAACCTCTACAACTGGGTATTAATTATTCCAATAATAAAATGGTTAGTGCAGTCTCATCATCTTGACATGTGTAAAAATATCCAAATGAAAACGAGGGAGTAGATTACGCAAGTTAATTGTTATAATGGATTCTAACTTTATTCCTATTAGATCGATTAATATAATTACAAATCAAAGCTGACTATATTTCATCATTAATTGTTGTTTGAATAAACCTTATTACTGAATAAAAATTTCTAGCAGGTTCGATGACTTTCTTTATAATGCTACGCATGGATATATCTTTAATGTGAAGACAGTTCTATTGGTAAAAAAAAACATGATATATTTCTTAGTGAGTATTATAAATACGCCTTGAATCCATTTTTTGCCACTCTTTACTTCCTCACTATAATATTCAAAAATTAAAACGAAGTTTAAAAACAGACTTTAAAACATAATCAAAATAATCAAAGGTATGATATTCCGGAATAAAAACATTTATTTACCTAAGCACTGATCATTTTTCATATAATCCCACATATGTTTGTTTCTGTATATGTTAATTTGTTTTCTTAGATGTCTCAAATCAATGTTTCGGACATATTACCTTTATTATCCTTGATCGTCATTCTCACGTGGTTTTCCATTAGTTCTATCAAGAAATATTTTAATGGGGATTTAACCACCCGTGACGCTAATATCTTAAATTTCATCAGGCAACAATTTTACCAAAGAAAACATTTTATGTGATTCTAAGCTCACTGAAGGACTTGCTAAACTGAACGCCGAACATAATGCATGTGGTGCTAACTTCACTGCGGAGGCGCAGAGAATCTTGTTATTTATATAATAATAAATATTGAATTAATTTTATAACAATGACGTGTAATAAAACCACTACTAAAATTTTGATTGGGACTACGGGTAGCGTTGCAAGTATTAAACTGCCAGTACTTGTAAAATCTTTATTGGAGGTTATATTATTATTATTATTATTATTATTATTATTATTATTATTATTACGAATAGTCATTTTAAATTATTAGGAATTAATTATTTTCAATTTTCAATTTCAATAGTTTGAAAATGTAGAATTAAAAATCATTTCTACTGATAGAGCTTTACATTTTTTTGATAAAGAAGCAATAAAGAAAGATTATGGAATACAAGTCATAACAGATGAAGACGAATGGAAGGTAGAGATTAAAATTAATTAACTTATTATATGAATAAATAAATAAAAATAATCAATATTATTTATACAAATAAGACTTGGGATAAAATTTCAGATCCGGTTTTACACATTGAGGTAAAATATAATATTATTTATATATATTTTAACCTTACAAAATATTTTTTTATTAACAAATCAAAAATAAATTTCAAATTTACAAAAAGTATCGAAATTGGGCAGATGTTTTTTTAATTGCACCATTGGATGCTAATACACTTGCAAAAATAGCAAATGGGTTATGCGATAATTTACTTGTTAGTGGATCATTTTCTTTCATTAATATATAACAACAATAATATTTAACGTATATAACATTTATAATAAAACTATCAATTTATTTAGACTTGTATATTAAGGGCATGGGAATTGGGAAAACCGGTGATAGTATGTCCAGCAATGAATACTCATATGTGGAATAATCAATTTACTGCACAGCATTTATCGATTCTAAAGAAACAATTAAATTTTGACATTATTCAACCAATTAGTAAAACTTTGGCTTGTGGAGACACAGGTTAGGATTTAAATCCAAAGTAAATAAATACATTACATATTATACATTTGTGTATTTATATAAATGTATTATTTAGGTGTTGGAGCAATGGTTGAAGTTTATACGATAGTTGAATATATTCAAAATAAATTGCTTTTAATACGAAAGTCTGGAAATAAAGATTGAATACCTCATTAAATAATATTTTATTATTATGTGATCGACATGCGCTTAATTTCATCTTGATTAGATTTTTATATATTAAAACAAAAAATGTCAATATATGTTTTAGGAAGACGTGGAATGCTAAACAGATATTTAATTAGTCCTTACATAAAAACGCCAACATTAAATTTATTTGAAACTTTCAAACAAAATAAAAAAATTTTTAAACAAAAAATTTTTTATTCTCAATTTTCGGCATTATCTTCCAATGGTAACAATTAATGTCATTATACGTAAATAATGAATATATTTATATTTATATACATTGATTTGAAATTAGGAGAAGTTCCAATAAGAACGCATACTTGTGGTGAGTTGCGAATTGTTAATGTTGGACAGCATGTTGTGTTAAATGGGTGGGCTCAGAAAATCCAGTAAGTAATTATATAATGATAGTTTTTTTAATTAAAAAATAAACAAACAATTTATAATAAATTTATATAGTAAGTTATCACCTGGACTGATATTCCTACCTATCCGTGATTCTCATGGTATAACACAACTTGTATTAAGAAACGAGAACTTGTCTAATAATAAAAAACCCGATTTGCTTGAAAAATTATCCAACTTATCCATCGAAAGCGTTATTTCTATACAAGGCATGGTTATGGGGCGACCTAAAGAAACTATAAATAAAGTAATCTTATTGATTTTAAATAATAATATATCATCACTATCACTATCACTATTAAAATAAAAACTTTTAAATATTAGAATATGGAAACTGGAGAAATTGAAGTGGAAATTAATGAATTAGTTTGCTTAAATCCTGCAATCAAATTACCATTTTTTGTTTCAGATAAATCGGTATAAATGATTTATTAAATAATTTATTTAGTTATTAAAGAATTAAAATAAACAACTTAATTTTTATAATTCTTAGCCTAATGAAGAAGTCAGATTCAAACATAGATTCGTTGATTTAAGAAGTGAACTTCTCCAGAAAAATCTTCGTAAACGCTCTTTAACATCATCAATTATTCGTGACTTTCTTAAAAGTGAAGGTATATAACACTTTCCAATGTTTATTATAATGTAATTCACATTATTAAAAAATTATTTTTATCGTTAGGATTTCTCGAGGTAGAAACACCTATATTATTTAAATCAACTCCAGAAGGTGCACGAGAATTTATTGTACCAACAAGAACAAAAGGGTCATTTTACGCTTTAACACAAAGCCCACAACAAGTTTGTCCATTTTATATGTTTATATATTCTTTTTTATATTTAATCATTTGGAGTTTACATGTAGTTAAAATAGATTTGTTTGACTCATCAAGTACAAACAATTACTTATGGCAGGAGGAATTGACAAATATTTTCAATTTGCAAAATGTTTTCGTGATGAGGATTTAAGAACTGATCGTCAACCAGAATTTACTCAAGTGGGAGACTTTTTTATTTTTCTTATTTTAAAAATTGTTGTTTATGCTTTTAAATTAATCAATTTAATTGTTTATTTAGATTGATTTGGAAATATCATTCATTTCAATGTCTGGTATCAAATCACTAATCGAGAAATTGTTGGTTAAAATATGGAAGGATGCTTTAAACATTGATTTAAATCCATTTCCTACGATTTCTTATGAAAAAGCTATGTCTAAGGTAATCAATCAATACATCTTCCATTTTTTAATCCATAGAACAATAATAACAATATAACAATAAATTCTATTGTTTAGTATGGTTCTGATAAGCCAGATACACGATATGAAATGGAGGTAATTAATTAAAAGTTACATTTATTAATTATTAATTATTTATTATTATTAAAAATTATATTTGGTTTCCAGATTAAAAATATATCACAATATTTATCTGATATTTTGGAAAATTCTTCAGAAATTATTGAATGCCTTGTCATTAAAAAGAGTGATAATTCCATTCTAAGTCAAATCAAACACCTAATTTCATCTCATAATGATCCAGAAATTAAGTTGTCAAGTGATGTATGGTATAAATACGCTTAACGTTAATCTCATCTATTTGTGTATTCACACATATTTTATTTAATTTTGAAAGTGTCTAATAATCACGCACATGCGTGCATACACATACATTTTTAGAACATTGATCTACTCAAAATTACACCAAAAAATATAGATTCATGGTTATCTAAATCAAAAATTATACAAAAGTCATCTTTAATAAAATCATCTCAAGACATATTAACAAATGTATTAAATGTCGAAGTTGGTGATTTGATTGTCTTAAATATAAGAAACAAATTTTCTTCAGTAAGATAAATTTTTAGTGTATTTTCTTTGAATTTTTCTAAATAATAATAACGATTATTATTTTAGGGAAGTTGGACACCTTTAGGTCGTATTCGGGTTATAGCAGCAAAACTTTTACAATCAAAAGGTATTAAATTAAAAAATATTTTTATTTTATTTTTATTTTATATGTTTAAATAAGAAAATTTTGACTTTTTTATGTAGGATTAATGAAAATTGACAGTTCACAATATAACTTTTTATGGGTTGATTCATTCCCATTATTTACCGATGGTGATGATACTGGACGTTTAATATCGAATCATCATCCATTCACTGCACTAATGCCAGAAGATATCGATTTACTTGATAAAAATCCTGAAAAAGTAAAAATATTCTTGATGATTTTTTAAAAAATCAAAAATTTTATTTAATGTATTATTTAATAGGTTCGTGGCCAGCATTATGATTTGGTGTTGAATGGTGTTGAAATAGGTGGTGGTTCTATTCGTATACACTCTCCAATTTTACAAGATAAAATATTTAATGATATTTTAAAGGTATAATATGATATAAATGATTGACAAATGTTTTTAAAAAATTCAACGATCCTGACATATATCATTGTGCTCATTTAGTTAAATCAAGAGGAAAAAGAAAGTTTTAGTCATTTAATAGCTGCTTTGGGATCTGGGTGTCCGCCGCATGGTGGTATTGCATTAGGTTTGTTTGTTACTAGTGAATATATATTTTTTACAATATACACACCAACTAAAACAAATAGGCAATTATTAGGATTTGACCGTCTCATGGCAATTATTTGTAATACCGACTCTATTAGGAATGTCATGGCATTTCCAAAAACTACATCTGGAAACGACTTGACTGTATCAAGTCCCTCAAAAATTTCAAATGAAAAATTACTGGAATATGGCATTCGATTGATTGATTGATTGATTGATTGATTTAAATTACTAATTATAATAAATTATTACAAGATGATAATATTAATGAATGGTTTACCACTACAACTAGTTTTTTGTTGATAAAAATTTTCTAATTTGCGGATCGATCATCTTAATTTTTTTTTAATTCACAAAGTCGGATTCGAATAGAAAGTCATGTTACAATTTTAGATGCGCACATTTTTGAACATTACGGCAAGTATTGCAAACTGATCCGTCGTCTGATTTTAACTCGATCAATGATATAATCGGAATTCAGTAACATTCCGAATCAACAACTAAATTCATAAATAACACGAACGTTAATTTAGGAGCGTATAGATTAAATGAGATCAATAACGCTAATCTTCCTCGAAAATTTTCTGAAATGAAAGATTTCGTTTATTTTTATGAATGTGTAATGAAATGGGCGGTATGTATTAATATTGATTACTTGTTGTGACATTTAACTTCCTTTAATCTTATAGTTCAAAATTACCAGTACCTTTTTTATAATAAAAACTTTCCAATAAACGAACATACATGCCACAATAATCAATATAAAATAAATGTATTCGAAGGCGGAAGCTTTGACCGCCAAATAAATGTAATGTCTTAGGAAGTCGCCTTCTGTTCTTAATAGTTTCTTTTACGATCTCCGCAAACATATTCTTTAAGTTATTTGTTATTTTTTCTAGATCATCCTTTGCTGTTGGTCTCGTGCCCTCTACATAGATAAGCTGATACTTGTTGACATCTATCATATACCCCATGCCATCGGCACGATTTTGAGTTTTATGAACAGTCAGAGCAAATGCATTCTGAAGAGGAAATTGATTCCTTGATGCTCTCTTGCCATAAACTTCAAAGTAAAATGTTTCTCTTTGGACAATAACCTTGCTTATGCTGGCCAAGGTAGGAAAGGTCACCTCAACATTCTCTTCATCATAAATTTTTGTCACTATTCCAATAGTTCCATTGCATATTTTTTCATCAAATAGCTTATTATTAAGAAACATCACATGTGCACCTTCTTGTAAATACAATTTATGAGGCAAGTTTGTTAAATTTTTGAATTGAGCAATTGAGTGATCATCATTTGATATTTCAAATTCCAGTGTGTCTATGCATTCAGAAACCATTGGATCATTGCATGTTTTGTCAAAAGGAAGATGATTAAAGAATATTGCATTGAGGGATTGAGCTTGCTTTTCGAGTGCCAACCACATGTGTGGTATCATAGAAACTACAAAGATCAGTTTCTTGGTTAATTTTTGTTTGGATTATTTGCTTGCTTCTAACTGACAAAGTTCCTGTTCTTATCTCTTGAAGGATCTTGTAAAATTCAACATCATTTTTACGATTTACGATTCATACTCTACTGCAATTTTTTTTATTGATAAGGATTTCCTTTTCCACTTCAAAAAGGCATGGTTGTTAAATAATGAATCAAATTTTCGAATTGTTGCATTTTTCTTCTTCACAAGGAGAATCTTTTTCGAAAAAAGCTTTGCTCAATTCCTTCAACAATAACGTTTTTTTTTTCATATTTTCAAAAAAAGGCACGGTTTGATGTTTTAATTAAATTAAAAATTAAATTAATTCCGAATTTTTACGTCTTTTTCTTCACACTTTCAAAAAAGGTATGGTCGTTTTTATTATAGAAATAATAATAAAACAATTTCCCAAATTGTTACATTTTTCTTCATTTTCCAAAAAGGCAAGAATTTTTTCAAAAAAAAACTTGATTGATTTCCTTTAAAATTAATTAAATAATTTTTTTAGTGGCTAATATCAAATCAATAATGGATTAATTTCTTGTTGGTATTTTTAGTAACAGGAGAGGTTCTTTTTCAAAAAAAGCTTAATTAATTTTCTTTAACAACACGTTTTTGGAAAAGGCTCGATTTTAATCAAGTGATTTCTTTATACAACCTCTGAATGTATTAAAAAAATTGGGAGATCATAATCATAAATCATAATCAATGATTTATACAACGCAATCAATTTTGTGAAACGAAAATTTTCCTTTTCTTTCGAAAATTTCCAAAGAGAGATAGTATCGTTGCCAATTCTTTCTATATATAATGAATAATTGCGTAATTAATTTCGTAACTACGTTATTACGTGTTACGTTTTTGGCAAAACCATCCCATGTATACCTGTGGTTACTTTGGTTATTATTATTACTAATCTTTTCAACAAATTGGAATAAATTATTATAAAAAACTTTTACAACTAGTAATCCTTAGTAATTGGAAATCTACCAATATTCACCATAAAGATCAGCCTGGATATGGATCAGGGCTGGCTGCGTAACCTAAATGAGCATTTGGCTAAACTGACTACATAACAACTATTTAATCAGTCAAGACAATTGTTGCCAAATCAGGATTTTAACCCTATACGCAACCAACATCAACAATCCTGTCCAAAAAAATTTTGGTAATTGAACATTATCCTTTAAACGTACAGGAATTTTTGGTCCAAATTTGTGTAGATCTTCCGAGTAAATTCAATCCCTCTTTAAATTAAAATACTACGAACAAACCCAGAATATTTTTACATTTTCAATTAACATATATTCTGAAAATTTTATTTTAAAAAAATCGTACATATTGGAATTATATTTAAGGTTTCTTATAAGTAAAGAAACATTTGTATTTTTTTTAAAAAGTTCACTATATGGAAAATTCTAATTATTGATACTAGATCCTATGGTTCTTAGACATAAATCATGTAATTGATCCGCCTAACAAGTTCTATTAGTAGTGTTTACATACTAGCTAATAATTTTAGTGAAGGAGATATAAGGTTTATATAACTGTATCGCAAATTTTTACTATCAAAAAACGTGATCTGCATGAATGGGTATTTTCACATTTTTATATATACACATCTAAACTCGATAAGTCGGACGCAGCAATCAATTGTTTAAAGTACTTTATAATATAAATACAGTCAAAGCTCGTTATAGTGGACCCTTGGTTCCATATGTAATTTTTCTCCTTTTTTCCACTATAACGAAATTTTATTATGTTTTCCACTATATCGAGCGAAATTAATTAGCATTGGAAACAAAAAAGATCCACTATAACGAGATTTTATTATGTGTCCACTATAACGAGATCCACTATAACGAGCTTTGACTGTAGATGTAACAAATTTTTTTAATATATAGAAGTATGGGGCTTTGAATCTTTTTTAAAAATCGTTTAAGATTGGCTGCGCCAAATGATTGTTTTGGTGATCTGAATCAAAAAAGGTATTAGTATGGTAAAATTGCGAGTGTTGGGATATGAATTCTGATTGGCTAACTTGAATTTCACGCGCGTTTTTTTCTATGGATGGAAAAATTGTGTTCGATTTTTATTTTAAAATTCTCATGCGTTAATAATGGCTTCTTACGAAGAAGATTCTACTGTAAAGGCATATTTAAGTTCTATTCGCAACAAGGATGATGCTGGAATTCAGTCAGCATTATCACAAGAAGCAATTTATCGTTCTTTATTTGCTCAATCAAGAGATAATTCAATTCTTTCTAGAAATTATTTGAATATGATAAATGTTTACGAAAACAATGATATTTGGTTAATAGATTCTCATTATGATGATGAAATTGCTGATGAAAATAGTATATACATTATGCCTTTACCTGAGAAAAAAAGAAAGAAGTCTGGAGAATTCGCAATCTGTAAAGATGGTATAGAAAAATTCACCAGAAATTGGAAATTATTTACTGAAGGTTCGTTGATATAGCTCCCTTATTATTACTTTGTGTGAAGATTTTCAATTAATCTTTTTTTACATAATTTTAGGAAGTCTAGCAGATCTTGATTGGTCAAATGTCTTTGCTGCAGGTATTGTATTTAACATGTGATAATCAATATTATCTTACAAAAGATTACTTACCAAAGAAATTCTGTATTTCAAAAGGTGGATCTGTACTATCATGTCTTCTGCCTATACCTGAAGAATATAATGTTAGTCCACGTAAAATTCGTGAATATTATCACGATAAAATGTATGGAAGTTCTGACATTGATTTATTCATTTATGGCTTGGATGAAAAAGCTGCTATGGAAAAAATGCTAAATATTTATGATGCTGTTTCAAATTCTGTGCCATGGGAGGTTATATGTATAAGAAGCAAGAATTGCATAACAATTACCAGTCAATATCCTTATCGGTATATCCAAGTAAATTTAAGATTCATTTATTTATTAATTTTTAAAATTTAATTAAACGTAAATCACAATTGAATTTATTGATTATTATGTCCAAAGATTGTTTTACGCTTGTATAAGTCTCCATCAGAAATTTTAACAGGCTTTGATATGTAAGTGATAAATATTATATACCAATATTTTGTATATATTTATTTATCAGGTTATAATCTAAATTTTTATGATCCCTCTATCTATGTATTGATTTATTGATTTATATATTAATCTACGCGACTACAGTGGTTGTTGTTGTGTTGGATTTGATGGCAAAGATGTTTGGGCGCTTCCACGAGCTCATCAAGCTATTATTAAACAATGTAATTTTGTTGATTTGTCTCGACGATCACCATCATATGAAATGAGATTGGCAAAGTATAGTGATAGGGGTTTTGAGGTAAATACTTACATATAAATAAATCATTGACATTTGATCATCACCTCAAAACTTAAAATATGTTGTTCACAAAAAAAGATTAAGGTACAAAATTTGGACAGAAAGAGAATTGATCCAACTATTTATGAAAGAAGTTTTGAAAAACTTCATGGATTGGCAAGACTACTTGTACTTGAAAAATTGAATACACCAGATGAAAGATTTGGTTATGCTGAAAAGAAAAGAGAACGAAGCTTACGACCAAATCATCCTAAAGCTGGAACTTATGCTTCAAGAACTTGGCAGAGAAGATCTAATATGGGATCTAGCAGGTTTGAAAATAGTGATTATGAAACTGTTTCTATTCCCTATGGACCAAGATACACCGCTAAACGAATTAGAAAATTACTATACACTAAAGTATAATTTAAAAGTTTTCTTTTTCATCATTAATAATTTATATTTATTGAAGTATACACATGCATATATATCTAATGTGCTCATACGTTTACATTTTTATATCTAAATATATATTAGGATATGGTGTTGAATTCAGCATGGTATTCAAAAAACAAAGATAGAAATTTACATCGACATCCATGTTTTTTTGGTACTATGGAACAAATTTTTCATGATTGTTGTGGTACATGCCCTGAGCCAACAACTGAAGAAGAAAAAATATTACAGAAAGAAGAGGATGAAGTTTTTATCCGTGGTGAAATAAGTTTTATTGCCGATGATCCTGGTAGACAAAAAATAGGTAGTTTCCATCCACTTGATGATGATGATTGGGCTGTCGAAGCTTATATATCTCCTGCTAGGGAAGATTTATGTTCGGCTTCAGCTAAAGGTGATTTAGAAATAGTCAAAAGATTGCAAACAGATAATATTGATATAAACACAAGAGATTATTTGGGTAGAACACCGTTGCAATTAGCAGTGCTTGGAAATCATATCGAGCTAGTTGGGTTATTGTTAGAATATGGAGCAAAAATAACTGCGAGAATGATTGATGGAAAAACTGTTGTTCATTTAGCTTCACAATTTGGATATCTGGAAATTTTAAAGCTACTATTTAGAAAAAGTGACCAGAATAAAAATGAGTCAGAAGAACAAAAATATCAAAAGTCACTTAAAGAAGTCGAGGAAAGTTTTCAGAACGTCAATAAAGATCAAGATGAAGATGACGATGGGTCGGATGAATCTTTAGAAGTTATTGATAAGATGGAAATAGATGAAAATCTCCCACCACCAAAAGATAAGGTTAATTATGGTCCAAAAGCAGCTTCTAATCAGGAAACAAACGAAGAAGAGCTAGAAAATGAAGACATTATTGATATAAATATTGAATCATGGGATCATTCAATGGCTGCATTAGATTATGCAATTTTATTTGGTCAATTGGAAGTTGTTAAGTATTTAATCAACCTGGGAGCAAATGTACGCCGATATATTAAAATAGAGAAAGTACCAAATGTCCCATCTTATTACAGTATAAATATTTCAAAAATTTATTATCCGTTGTCATTGTGCATGTTACTAATAAATGAGAAAATTGGATTACAAATTGCCACATTATTATTGGAAAATGGTGCAATGGTTTCTCAGGTGATTATTGTAACTTTATGTCGTTCATTATATAAATGTATATAACAAATATTTATTTTGTTTACATTTTGTTTTAGCTTGATTATGATTATAACACTATATTCCACCTCGCCGTTAAAGCAGGTAATTAATTAATTTATCCGATTATTTTGTAATACAATAGTGATAATTAATAATAATTAATAATAACAATCTTATAAGGGAAAATCAAATTTGTTAAACTATTTCTGGAGATTGATCCAAAAGCTTCAAGAGTTATAAATAGTTTAAATTCAAAATATGAAACTCCATTTCTGATTGCCGTACAGAATGGAAACAAAGAAATTGTTGAATTATTATTAAAGAATGGCGCACATGTAAATTTTATTTATATTTTATATATATACATATAATTTAAATCTTAAGATTAAGGTTAATATATGTGTGTATGTGTGATTACTTAAATATTAGGCTCATATTACACTTGAAGATTGCCAAGATTATTCAAAGCGTTATAATAAATCAGATGGTAAAGTGATATATAAAACGATTAAACAGCCAGTAACATTGTCATTGGAAAATGGATTGTATAAGATTTTAATCGAATCTGGTGCAGATATTAATTCACTTATTTTCCAAGAGTATCGCTACTCTGTTATTAATTTTGACAATATGACAATTAGAGATAAAATTGAAAGTTTAATTGAAGAAGCTCAAAAACGATTATCAGATTATGAACTTAAACTTGATTTGAAATCAAATAAAGGAATGACGATTATCGATAATAAAGATATTATTAATAAATATCTTGAAGATCTGTTAGTTCAAGAAAGACATAAAACCAACTTGAATTCATACAGATCATATCTTTTGAAAAAATTAAATGTAAATGATCTATATAATTTTGTTCAAGGAACTTTACCACAATATTTAAGTTTAACAAATAATAATCAAATAGCTGTTGACACTTCAACTGTTCATAGTGTTGATCAGATTAAATTAGAGATTAATAAGTATGAACAATTATTAATAAAATATCAAGAATGTCGGGAATATTTATTAGAAAAAGGTGCTAAAAGATATAAAACAATCAAATTTGAAGAAGAAAAAATCATTTCTAAGAAATTGATTTTTCAACATCAGCAAGAATTGGATAATTTAAGTGTATTAAAATCCCAGGCAAAAACAGAAGATGAAAAAGCCAAGATTATTCAACAAAAAAGTTTTTTGGAAAAGATTATAAAACAACAAGAAACAAAAATTAATAATTTAACAAAAGAGTATAAGAAAGCAACAAACACATTAGACTTTAAACAAAAAAATTTAAAGCACAATGAGAATTATCCTGATAGATTAAAAGTAAAGAAATTCAAATCAAATAATAATGACGATGGTGACGACGATGATGATAGTAAAGAAAAAAACAAAGAAGCACCAGAACAATCAACATCAACAAATATTTATTCTGTTCCTTCTGCTTCATCAATTTCTCCTGTCATTCCAATTAATTTTGATGAATTATTGTACGAATTCGAGTTCTTAAAATTTGTAAAAGCTTTTGGTCATAACATTAGAGTATCTGATGCATTAAAACCTGATTATATAAAATTATATCAAGCTATTTATGATGACAACTTTGAAATTGTTGAAAATTTAAGTAAAAGATTAATTATAGCTGTAAAAGATCGAAATAATATTACACCATTTTTATGGGCTGTAATATTGGGAAGAAATAAAATTGCTATAACATTATTAAAAATTGCAACTGCTCAATATCGCCCATTGCCTTCCGACGATGACGAAGGAGATGATAAGATTAAAGAGGAAAAAGAAGCCTTTAAAAAACAAATGGTTAATAATTACGAATTGATCGATCAAAGTATGTAAAAAAAAAAAAATACAATATATATATTCATTTATTAACAAATAACTTTCTTGATTATTAGGTAGTTATAATTATTCTGATGATGAAGAACCTGGTGTCGATGATGACGATGACATATATCGATTTTATGAGTCATCCTTAGTAACTTTGACAATACCTTCTGATAACGAATCATCAAAATTTATCAAGTTTAAGACGCAAATTAATGTATCTGGATTAGAATTGTTATTGACATTGACTAAATTTGATAAAACTGAACTATCTCCGAAGGCGTTCATTAAAAATCACAGTTCTTGTGATTTAGATGCATTGAAATTTGCTACTATAAAAAATAATATTGAATTGGTTAAAAATATCCTTGAGTGGGCTAAAAATTATAAGATAACTAAAGGTATATCATTATATAATTATGATCGTTGTTATTTGTTTTTGTAATATTTATTTTATTTTTAAACATTTGAACTCTCGTTAGACGATAATTATATGACGGCTGATGAAAAAGATGGTGGATTAGTGACATCTTTGCTACGTGGAAATAATTATGCTAGTTATACACTTTCTTCTTATTCTGACAAGGCAAGTATTATGGAATATGCAATTTTATTTGGACATTTAGACTTGCTAGATCTATTTATTGAGTAAGTTTATATTTTATCATAATTAAAATTAAATGACTGAAAAAATATTAATTTAATCTTATCATTTTTTGATTTACAAAGATTTGGTGTAGGCGGAAATAATTTTGCTATATTTGACATAGGCGATAAGAAGGATGGAATAATTGAAATCGAAAAACCAAAGTATTATCAACTTTTTTTTTTAAAAAAAAATTATAATATGTTAATTACATATTAATGTATTATATATTTTTTATTATTGTAATAATTTAGATGGTATCAAGGTCTAGATGTTGATGGATCCAAGAAAAAATCATGGGTAGTACGTTATATGCCAAATTCACATGAAAATTTTGTTCAACCTTCATTTTTATTTTATGCTTCATTCTATGGCTCAATAAAAAGTATTGAATACTTTTTATCTGAAAGACCAATTAAGGCATTAGAAAAATTTGCAAAGAAAAAAGATAATCGTAAAGATAACAGGTTGAAAGTATTAAGTAAGGAAGAAGATATAAAAAAGGTTGGAAGAAAAATATTTGGATTTTTTTTGTTTAGGGATGAAACACCATTTCATTGGGCTGTACAAGGCAATCGACCTAAAGCTTTGATTTCATTAGCAGAATCTTATAAAAAACTGCAAGAGTTTAATCAACAAAGATTAGAGTCATTGTTAGATAAAAAATCGATTAAAGATGGAATGACAGCTTTAATATTGGCAGTAAAATTACAAAATACTGAATGCTTGAAAACTTTGATTGAATTAGGAGCTGATCCTGGGATTGTTGATGATTTTGGTTTTACTATCGCACATTATGCTAGGTAAATAAATAATATATGGATTTTTATTATTTTTATAAAAGAATTTCTAAAAAATATAATTTTTTTTAGTTGTGACGGAGAAACTTCAATTTTGAAATTATTATATCAAATGTTAGAACCTTCAACATATCTAAGAATGATTGAACATGGTAATAAATCTTTTGGGCATACACCGATATCATATGCAATCATGAAAGGCTGGAAAGATGTCCTTGTTTTATTTATACAACAAATAACACAATTAACAAGCACCTTGAATATTAGAAATAATATATATTCATATGATTTTGAAAGTAATTCGTATTTGCATTTATCGATAAAAGAAGGTTTTATTGATCTGGTAAAAATACTTCTTGAATGGGAAAAAGTATTTAACGAAGTGCAAGAGCCAGGAGATTCAATGTTAATCGTAGAAGAGGCAAAAAAGGAAAAAAAAGGAAGAAATTATTTATATTCTGAAAATGTTTTTGGTCAAATTTCAATTGAGATGGCAATGCAGATGATACTTTTAAATATTTGTCAAGAACAAGATTTATTTATTGAAGAAAATTTTAAATTCGATGAATTTGATGAAATTAATCGTGATAGACAAGTAATTGAAAATATATTTAATAAAAATGAAATTTTAAAAGCTACAACAATGACAGAAAACATCAAAGAATACTATATACTTAAGACTAATAAACAAAAAGTTCAAGAGATAAATTATCGTAGAAGAGTTCTTAATTTTATTAAAGAATTTTATTTACAAAATCAACAAGAGATTACAAAAAATGGAAGAAAGCCAATCAGGAATTTAATAGGATTTAAGGCTGTTGATACATATACTAATAATTGTATGAAAACAATGAAAACAGGAAAATACAATTTACAAAATCCTAACAAAGATAAATTACATATTTGGTTAGCCCAAATCTATTAATTTAAATAATCAATTAACATATATAAAATTAATGATATCACAAGAAATTATTTACAAAATTAAAAATATTTCAAAAATAAAATAAATCTAAATAAATGAAGAAATAATCCATCTAATTTAATAACTTCCATCCAATTCTCATAAATCTCCGATAATTGTAAAATTTGATCATTGTTGTGTATTATCTTTATTAGAATTGGACAAATCATTTAAACCAAAACTATCCTCCATCTCTATGTCATCATCGTCATCATCAATTGTAAAAATTCCTTGTGGAATTCTTGATTCGGTTTTTTCTTTGTTTGAATTTGGAGAAATATAATTTCCATCATTTTCGTGGTTGGAACTTTCTATTTTAGGAGAATCTATGGATAAATCTTCAGTACTATTAGTATTATTATTACCATTTTTATCGCTATCGTTATTTTTAATGTTGTTATTATTATTATTATTAGTATGGTTATTAATATTGTTAGTATTATCAGTAGTGCTATTATTTTTAATATTTTTAAGTTGATCAGTGTCATTGGCATTATTATTATCGTTATTTTGAGTATGAATAAATAATTTCCTTGAATTATTATTATTAGAAAAATTAACATGTCTTTGTGATCTCCGTGTACCCATCAGACCAACAAGTCCTTCTTCGTCACCTCGAGTAGTATCGTACTGCCATCTTTCTTGTGGCAATATTCCATTTGTACGAGTAAATATTGGTTTAAGGAAACTATCATCAAATGAAATAAACCAATGTGTACGGTCACTCTCTTTTGTAGATAAACGGCCATTAGTTAATGGGGCACCATCACCAATAAAATTTCCAGAATCTGCTGAAACAATAGAACCTTGAGAATTAGAACCTAAATCATCATCGACAGCAACATAACCATCATCATCACTAAAAGACTCATCCTCGTCAACACCCATTTGAATGTTGAGAATTTCCAACATTCTAGATGTCGTTCCACCAAATACGATGACACTAAGTACAACTAATACCAATATAGTGGTTTTCATAGCGTGTTTGTTATTTCCTTCTAGTCCTGCAGCTAAAGCAAAAGCAACCGCACCACGAAGGCCTATTAAAAAGTAATTAATTATTTTTAAAAAATGCAATTGTGATTGTATTGAAATTAATTTATCCGTCATCGACCTTTCACTTACCAGACCAAAACAGCATTACAGAATGATTATGAGGAATTGTTTCACTACCTCTTCGATATTTTGATATCGAATTTAATAAATTCGATAAAGGAAATACGGAAAGATATCTTGAAATACAAATAATTATCTAGAGATGAATAATACAATTGATTCCTTGTTAATGTGTATATATGGACGCGTATGTGAATGAATGAATACTTCAAAGAATTAACTTACAGCGGTAAAAAATATGAAAAAGGGTTTATATTCTAAATCTGTTTGTGTAAATAATGTCATTCCCAAATAGATAAAGATAAAATTTTCAGAAAGTTGAGCTAATACATGGAACATATATTTTGTTGTTCTTTGTGTTCTCAATGACATATTATCATAAGCATAATGTTTAAGAGTAATTCCACAGAACAATAATGATACAATTCCTACAGATATAAATAAATTTATTGTTTAAAAATAAAATAATAATTAAAATAATAATAAAAATAATAATAATAATAATAATAATAATAATAAAAATAATAATAATAATAATAATAATAATAATAATAATAATAATAATAATAAAATACCTGATAGGTGACAACCATTAGAAAATAAATAAGAGCTATATGCTAATAGTGCAATGATGCATGATTCGATAGAAGGAAACCTATAGAGATTTGAATACTTCAACATGTAAATAATAATTGAAGTTAAGAATTTTTTTGATTTAAATTAAAAAAAAACTTTTTTTCTTTAAAATTAAGTTAATGATCTGATTATTTAAAAAGGATATCAAAGCGCACATTAATCCAATCAATACACCAACTGTTAATGAAGCCCCAAAATTGAACAAGAAATTAAATATACCATGAACAATATTTGAAAATTGAAAAGTTTCACCACGATATTGCTTTAATGTTCTAAAATAATGGAAACAATTATGATCAATGATAAGAGTCTATATGTTATACATAACTGGAATATATAAATAATTAAATCTTACTCGTAAAGTACAATGGCGACAGCGTCATTTAATATGCTTTCACCAAAAATTATTGAATATAATTGAGGATCCACTTTCAAAGTTTGAAATATTGTAAGAACTGTTACAGGATCTGTTGCAGATAAAACAGATCCAAAGATCATTGAATCCAAAAATGATAATGATAAAGAATCAATTCCAATTAGGGCAATAAATGCAACTAAAAGTCTTATTATTAAAACAATAATTAAATTAAACCATTAAAAGCAAACGTATATAAAGTATACATATATGATAAATAAATGTGTTTACCCAATTACTAATGCAGAGATAAAAGTTCCAGCAAATGCAAATGTAAGGATAGTTCCGAAATTTCGAAAGAATTTTTCCTAAAAATTTATATTATAAAAAAAACAATATAAAAAGACATCTGTATAATAATAATAATATAATAATAATAAAAATAATGAATTAATTTGCATACCTTTTTCATTTCATAACCAGAATTCAAAATAATTGGAGGTAAGAGAAGATTAAAGAAATATGAATAATGAAAAGTGACCTTTTTTTGAATTAATGTTCCAGGCGAAAGTCTTATTATCAGACCAACAATCATTCCTAATAATTAATTCATAAATTTAATTACTTTGAAATTCATGCTTATATATACATAAAGCCTTTAAAATAATTTAATACCTGAGAATACTGATACGACGGTTTCATGTATAGCCCGAATTTGTTTTACTTGTAAGTAATAACTTGTAAATAACGAACCGATCAATAATGTTATTTGAATCAATAAGGCCCAACTTGAATAAAGCTCTTGCTCTTCAACAGGAGCTTTTTCGTGAGTTCCTGACATGTTTTGAAATCAGCGATAATAATAAAATTAATACAATATTAAAAGTATTTTTAGTTAAAAAATTTTTTTTCGTATATGGGCTGATTTTTTTCACTCATTAGTGAGATTTCGGTTATGGCAATATTTACAGTAGATCTTGACAATTTCACTTAGTAATCGGCGGCCCACATGCCAATAAATTCATAATCATGTGATCATGGTAAATTTATGACCAATTATTACCAACTTTGGCAATTTCAGCCACAGCGTGTGATATTTTGATTGGTTGAATTCAGATTATAAATGTCATTATGACATATGACATAATGATCACCAAAATTTGGATTTACAATCCTAAATAAGCATGAAAATTAATGAGGTATCTGATTTTTTGATTAATTCCAATTGCAAATAATCATATCAATATTTGATTATTCTCTTTAACAAGCAAAAGAATATTTTGAAAAACATATTAAACAATTCAAACTAATTGACAAAGAAGATTATAAATTAGTTAAATAGTATTTGGTGAATTGTATTAATTATTATTCATGGTCTTTGACATGCTTTCTTGTATATATATTCCACAATCAACTGGTTATATTGTGAACATTCTGCATATTATGATGAAATTAGTCTTTATTCTACTATAATTGGATTTGTGCAAAATTTACAGGTTCAAACAATATTAATTTACTTGGACCCATAAGATAATTTGGTACAAAATATAGCATAATGGACATTCGTTTATCACATTGTGACTTTGATTTCATTGGCTAAATTTTACGATGATCACCCTCCAAAAAATCACGCAAAAACCAAATTTTATTGGCTTAAAGATCTTTTACAAAAACAAAATTTATAATTAAAATCTTTTAATATTAAAAATTTTATTTTTCAAATTGTCAAATATTAAAAATGTTTTAGGATGGCCAACAACATCCAATGTAGTTAGTTGAATATGGATATAAAATGTATGCATAAAATCATAATAAATAGTTTACTTTGCAATCCCAACCATTTTTCCTCTTTGCATTGAGTGGATAATTAACCAAATATGAAGAAGAATGCATTTCAAAAATTATAAATGCTACAATTATGAACACATGTGTTTTTTTCCTACAAAAAAATGTAGATTTCCCATCTAATATTAACACATTCACATCATTTTGAATGATATCAAATATTCATACCCCTTCCACATATAAATTGAATTTTACATCATGATCAACCTTTAATGTTATTAAATATGTACCTATTATTTATATTAGTTGTAATACACTTTATTATCTATCTAGTTTTGATTTTCTTTGAGGATTCTCTATCATTTTTGAAATAATAAAAAAACAAGAAAATAGAATTGATATGTTTTTCCTTATATTTTTTAATAATAGTTGTATATATACACTGTATATTACTTCTTTACCTGCTTATTACGTCTATATATTAGTTTTTCTTTGAGGATTCTCTGTCATCCTTGAGATAATAAAAAAATAGTTATATATATATGGGGCATACTGCAACAAAACAAGACAAAGTGAACATTGGTATTACCAATGATTTCAGGGATCAATAGTATTTGTTTTCACAATTGTATTATTACCTATTCATAATAAAGATCCATTTATTATTGATTAGAAAAGAAAAGAGAATGACAAAATCTATTCTTTGCTGTATGGTACTATTGTTATAGAAAATAATGGTCACATTACATTTGTAATACAATTATGATGTTAAACAAACAATATTAATCCCTGAAAATTTTGGTAACATCAATGTTCACATTGTCTGGTTTTGTTGCGGTATGCCCCATATGTACACACACACACACTTTACAAACAAGACTTGTCACCCTGATGATGACAAATTGCTTGAATGCTTGAATGAATATGGACAAAGATTGAACCAAAACAATATATTCCAGATTCTTGTAAATGGCGCAAATGGAATTGGAACAAGTAAACAGTATTATTATTATTTCTAATAACTAATATAAAAGGCATTACACATAAATATACTCATTTTAGGTTATAGTACCAATATTCCTAATTATAATTCAAAAGATATTCAAACAAATGATTAAAGGTGATGATTTATTGGTTCCAATGCATCTTTGGTATTGTGATTTTTTTTCTTCTTTTTATTATTCCACATCTATTTATGTAAACAAACTGTCAATTACTGTTATTATGTGGAGTGAAATGGAGAAAGTCAATAAGAAGAAATATGTATCTTATGGTATTATTACTAAAACAAATGATTGATTCACATTAAAGCCCCTCATGAACCAGTTTGTGAGCTTATTAGGTTATTTCCTGTGAGCCAGTTTGTATGGAGCTTTAATTCACATGTACAGATTTCTGAATTACTCAGTTTATAAATGGACCAAAGGCTACAAGTTAAATGTTTTTCCTAATCTTGGGAAAAACTAGTTCAATCAAGAAGATTATTAGAAATAATTGCACAATTTTTTAAAATTGAATTGACTCATAAACACTGAAAGAGAAAGGCTTGAAAAATGTTTCAAGCTGTAAAATAAATATCCACATCTAATGGTGTTTTGATTTGAATAAATTGATCAAAATATGTGTATAAAAAATGAAATTTGTCCACAAGTATTTGGGCAATTGTAGTTACTAAAAGAAGTGGTTATAGTTCATATATGCTGTTATTATAATCACTTTTCAGAATCATCAAGAATTCAATTGATATGTGATAAAATTTGGAACTCGACCAATTAATTTTGATCCTTTATAAATAATCATGCGCACATTTATTAATTAAATTATCTAGACAGGTGAATTATATTTCTTTAATAAATTAAAAATTTCAGGAAATATTTGATTTATATCTTTTGCCCAAAGAAAATCTAATTATCACGTTATTAAATATTATTAATGTTAAATGTTTTTCTTTATAATAAAAAATTGAAAATCAACTTGAAAAAAATTTACCTAAATGTTCATAATTTTCTATTTTATTAACACTAACTATCACACTATCTTTTCCTTGTTGGTTGTTATTCAACTTATTCATCAAAAATTCCATATTTATTAAATTATCTCTGCCACCATAAAATAATGCTAAAGGTGTAGAAATTTGATTTAACGGAAAATCTTGATCAATAGAGCTTAATGAAGTTACTGTGAAAGGGTCTTCAAACCTCCGAAATTTTCCATGATGTATTATTTGTAACCAATGCTTTTTTTTAAAAAAATAAATAAATAAATAAATATACAAATATGTGTATTATTATTAAAAATTTAAAAATATTAAAAAATTTGTTACCACTAAACTTTTAACACTGGCACAACTGAATAAATGAAAATATCCAATTGATTTTTGTAATTCTGAAATGTTTTCACAATCCCAACCAAATAATAATTTAAGTGCTATATCAATTATCTTGATAAATATTGAAGTTGGTAAAACTTTTTGCCAGAACATTACCATTGATAATATAGATTTTTTACCAAACAATAAATATATTATATTTGGTGATAATTTAACCAAACTATTTAACAAGAAATTTTGTAAATCTAATAAAAAAAAAAACAAATAAATGAATAATAAATAAACAAAAGATTAAAATTAAATTAAAAGAATTTGTGTATTATAAATACCTTTTGGATTTGTTGCAGGTGCTAAAGCTATAAACAAATTAATTTTTTTATTTATATCTGGTAATAATGACAATGCAGCAAAACATAGTGCTGAACCTTGTGAAAATCCTATATAAGTGAGTGACTTTGCACCAGTAACTTTTAAAATATAATTAATTGTGTCTGGCAAATCATAATAAATCAATTCGTCCATAGAATAATTCCAAAAATTATTATCATTTGGATATTGAACATGTTTCATTGAATATTTATTTCCTCGTGAATTACCAAACCAAACATCATATCCGGCATCAGCCAATAAACAAGCTAATCTATTTTCATATTCAGCATTACATACCCAAATCTCACTACAAGTCATAAGTCCATGCCATAATAATACTACGGGTTTAACATGACCCTTTGTACTATTATCACTACTAATTGATGATGATTTGGTAGTAGTTGCTGGTAAAATATCATCATCTTGTTCATTATATGTTACATTAGATAAAGGTACATTGAACTGTTTAAATATGTCTTCAATGCTTGACTCATTAGAAGTTAAATCATCGTCACCATTGATTCTTTGAAATGAATTATCATTAGACAATTTTTTATCATTTGATATACGTTGAGCCCCTAATATATAATTATCATGTGTTTTTATTGCGTGTTCTTCTATCTCATGGCCCCTATTTGATAAAATCCATTATTAATTATAATGCATAAAAAAATTAAAATGAATGAGCACCTTTATCTTACCAAAAATTCATCAACTCTTCAAAATTTTTGGCGTTTTGAAGTTCTTTAATATCCAAACTCCTTTCATCTATAGGAATAATTGAAACCATCTGTTTTGGTTTCAACAATCAACTTTAATAATCAAAAAAATTTTCTAAGACTAAATAATCAAGAAATCAGTTGTTTGCTTTTAAAAAAATTCAATGCCAATTCTGTTATCAATAAATATATAGTTGAAGAAGATTACGCTAGTGTAACTTCATAAAAAATCATGTAAAACATAATAAGACTCCTTATAACAATGTGTATGTGTTACATTATTATCATCCGATTTCAAATTCATTAATATTAATTATTACTATTGTCACCAATTATTATTTGGGAAAGCGTGTTAATTGATGATAACAATATAAATTTTATTGGCTATTACTAACGAATTAGTCTTATTAGCGAATAATTTTGGTTTTAGTTAAGAAAACGTTTTATTTAGTTGAAATTAATTTATTAAGTTAATTTTACAAGTTATTAGAACTTTATTACAATGTTATTACCATGTTTTTTATAAGTATGTCGAATTTGAGCTTCTTATATATAATTAAATTAATTAGTAACAACTTTGTTGCGATCTAGCATTTTAAACGCGATATCGCACTTTAATTGCGACGTAGCATTCTAACCACGACGCTAATTCCTAACTAATTTTGACGTTATACGAATAAAAATAATGTAATATATACAAATAGAAATAGTATAAAAGAAATGAACAAAAAAAATAATATAAGGAATGAAATAAGAAATATAAGGAATAAATAAATATAGATATAAAAATAAAGTAAAAATAGAAATAAAAGATTTGATTCGGAATTAGGGTATTTCGACCAACAAATCAGCGAGTAAATTTAGAAACTATCTAAACTATCTCCAGAAATTCATAATTTGATTGGTTAATAATGTTACACGCGCCCGTTGCGCCCGTTTAATTTTACACACTGGCGTTAAATCCTAATTTCGGTAACACTATTACTATTTTTATTCAGATTTATTGGAATTTCTTTTAGTTAAGATTGAATCACAACAATCTTTTTATTACAAAAATATTTATTAAATATATTTTTAACCAAAGTTCAGATTGGGAGTAATTGTAAATCTCCTTTAGTTTCTCTGAAGTAAGATTTGAATCATAATAATAAATCATAACTCATAAATAAGTCACTCATGAACAGATTTTTTTGTTACAAATACACTTATTAGGTATATAATTATTTATTTTTTAGTATATGTTCGTAGTGCGGATCATCTATACTCAAAAGTTAAAAAATTTGATCCACATGTTAGATTTTAAAAAACCCGCCACCATTCAATTCAGCTCTAAAAAGGGAGTCAATTCATCTAAAAAAAAAAATTTGTCTCGAATTTTTTTTTCATAGATTTTTTAAATTTGAGAGAAATGCAATAAAAAAAATTTTTTAGTTCATTTGTCTGGCAAGTTTTTAACTCTTAATAATGTTATGTGTTCAATTTTCCTAACCAAAAACTTTCAACTCTAAAAGTAAAAGAGAGCTTAATTTAGAAGAAACATTGATTAAGCAAATAATTTGGGTCAATAATTTTCGTGTTGCAATATTTTGAATTGCATGACCAAATTTAGTAATAATTTTCTTTTGATGTAATATGTTCGTTAAACTTTAAAGAACTTTTATTAATAAAAAAAAAAGAAAATAAATAATACTAATAAATCAATATATGTTGTAGAAAATAAATAAAAGTTTGTTACACGAAATTTACTTAGTCTCAATTTCTTAATATTAAGTGTATAACAAAATTTGGAATTTTCAAAATGCTAAGGCTCTGCCAATTTTTAGTTTGAGAAAAAGCTAGCCGATAAGTTTTGAAGCACAATAAAACTTATCGGTTAGCTTTTTTTAAAAATTTTTTTTTTTAGTATTTTGAAACTGACCAATTGTTACTATAAACAATTAATTGATTATAGATGATGAATCTGCACCGTATTATTATCATCATAAAAAAATATAAAATTGGCTCAAGAAAAACCAAGAGTGAGGAAATGACAACTTTTTTTTTTATAAAAAATTTTTCATATATGGGCCAGTACGTATCACAGTAATACATCTGGTCTTCTTAAAATTGACATCAAGTTAGTTAGTTTGATATTGACTCCCATACAATTCTGGCCAATTTTGTTTAATGCCTCCCAAATTATGAAATTCATCCATGAAATTAAATCATGAAATATTTCTTTTTTAAAATATTTAAGATGGTTGGAATCAAAAAAGAACTCAGCACTTAAAAAATATTGCTAAAATCTCTGTACAGTCAACAAAAAAACTAGAAGATAATGAAATTGAGTGATTATTTAACTTGAAAATAGTAAATCTTTATTCAATTACTGACTAATAATATGGAAAATTATAAGGCATAAAATAATTCATTTTGGAAGTGATGGTGCATCTAATATGACTGGGTACATACTTATCCTTATCTAATGTGAATTGTCTTTTTTTTTGGCATTTAAAATGATTTATGAATAAATGAATGCCCTTTTTTTTAGCAGAATTTAAAATTAAAAATGGTTTAAAATGATTCTATATCTACAAATAAATCAATTAAATAAATAAATAAATTAATCCATGAACCTTTAGAATGAGTTTTTTACAGAAATAAATATATATTACGCCTAATTATTATTAAAATTTGTGATGACTGTGACGATGATTAGTATGGCGGTGGTAATGATGATGATGGGTGGTGGTTACGATGATGATGAATTTAAAACAAGCAAAAATTTATAAATAAAGAGTTTTGAAGGAATCTAAATTTCATTTGTATTCAAAGGTATCCTGATTATATATACTATTCCTGAAAATGTTTCAGAGGCAAAGCATTCTTTTCTTCTTTGAGATAATATATTGTTTGTTTATTATTTATTTACAAATTTACTCTGACGCTTTTGTTTTTTATGATATGTTTCATTCAAAAAGATTCCTTAAGTCAACGTCAACGTCAAAGTGATCTTCAAATAGTGATAATAAGTTATTTTTATCTCCAGAAGATTTGATGTTATGTATTACTTTAACGAGATAATAAATAACTTTGATAAAATTTTGTTTCAAAATATCCCTTGCTGAAAATTGACACCTTTTTTCTTTTTTAAGATTGGCTGCTTTTAGTGCAGCGGAATTAACAATAGAATTATGGAATTATACATAAAAGTTAGATGACGAAAGAAAGATACGAATTGATCATTAGCAAAAAGAATTTAGAAATTTATTGGGAAAATAAAAAAACTCATTTTTTCCTTATTATTAAATAACTCAAAAATTTTTTATTAATATTGATTGAATTGTTTATTCGTCGTCATCTTCTCCTTCCTCATCATTAGCTATTTTATAAAAAAAAAATTAATGAGTATCCGATTTAAAAGCAATCAGGAAAACTTTTTTTTAAAAAAAAAAATATTACTTTTTGATGCTGATCGTAAGCGTTTTCTCTTTACACGACCAGGACGTCCACCACCTAAAAAAGATTATATATAAAATTACAAATTTATATTTTCTTCTTATTATTATCATGTTTTTTTTTTAGAATATTTACCATAAGGTGAAGTGAGTGCAAAATCAATGTGTTTTTGAGATTCAAGCCTTTTTGAAAAATTTAATGAATGAATGAATTAATTAATTAATTAATTAATTAATTAATCAATTAATTAGTAAATTAAAAAAAATTATCAATTAGGTTTTTCTACCTGACGATAAAACTAGGAATATTGACAATTTGTTTTCCAACACTTTATTCCCAAAAATAAGTAAAAATTTAGTATATGTATGTATGTTTCCTTACAAAAAAAATCAAATAAAATTTAAATTTCAACACATACCGAATATGACGCTGTCTTATCAGGACACGCGCATGATGAATAGATTTGGCCAAACCAGATTTATAGACTTGGGTTTGTAATCTTCTTTCCAAGAAATCTTCAATTTTCAAAGCCAATACGTAATCAAGTTTCATCTTAGATTCATCCAACACACCAATTCTAACAAGTCTTCTAATCAATGCATTTCCTTCAAAAAGTCTACGAGGATCCTTGTCATCTAATGTTAACAATTCACGAGCAGCTCTTCGAATATTTGATAATGTATAAGCCACGCGCCAAATTTCGCGTTTGTTTCTCAATCCATAATCACCAATTAAGCGAAGTTCTTGGTCCATACGTTCCTTCTCAAAGGGACGACGTGGAACCTTGTATGTCTTTGAACCTATAACACAATGTTAATAATTATAATAATAATAAGGAAAGATAAAAGAAGGAAAAGAAGAGGTAAAGTGAGTATGAATGAATCGATTGTAATCATTGAATATATAAATTAAAATTTGTTCAATTGGAAAATTAAATAGTTACAGTTTATTGGGGCTCCTGGCATTTTTATAAAATTATATTATTGTAGAATTAATTAATTATGAACCAAGATTATTATTTTTTTTTTTTTTTTGATTTAACCAATTAAATTTTAATCCACACAAAAAAAAATTGCACTAAAAAATTTTTTTTATAATTAAATTATTTTGAACTAAAAAAAAAGGTAAAAATTCAATTCTATATTTATAATTCATGAAAGTTTAATTTTAACTCATTTTCTCTCAATCATTTATTTTGTTAGATTTGAAGAAATGCCTCACTCATATGGTATCCGTGCTCGCACACGGTATATGTTTTCTCGTAAATTTAAAGATCATGGATATCTTAAGCTTTCAACCTATCTTAAAATATATAAAGTTGGCGATATCGTAGATGTCAAAGCAAACGGTGCAATTCAAAAAGGTATGCCGCATAAATTTTATCATGGGTAAGGGTCAATCAATCAATTAATCACACATATATTTTGTTATTTTCAATTATCTTTTTTTTCCAATCTAATCATAATCTTTTTTATGTGGTATGCATATGATAATAATTATAATAATAATAAAGACGTACTGGAATTGTTTATAATGTGACAAAATCCTCAGTTGGTGTTATTATTTATAAACGTGTTGGTAATAGATACATTGAAAAGAGAATCAATGTTCGTATCGAACATGTAAAACATTCAAAATGTAGAGATGATTTCTTACGTCGTGTTAAAGAAAATGCAATTAAAAAGAAAGATGCTAGAGCTAAAGGGGGTTTGTATAAATTACACATATATATAGGATTTTACGCTTACAAAATTAATTAATTTCATGCTCAAATTAAATTTTTTTTTTTATAGAAAAAGTAAATTTAAAGAGACAACCTGTACTCCCAAGAACTTCACGTCACGTTTCAACCAAGAAGAATATACCAACTACTATTACACCAATCCCTTACGATACACTTGTCTAATAAACATATTAAAAAAAAAATAAAATAATAATTGATTTAAAAAAATAAATAAATTAAGATAAAACTTTGTTTTTGCTATAATTTATCCTATGGGATGTAATTCACATGCATAGGAAGTCGTAATAATGAAAGTCTCTGACCAAAATACTATCAATCAATTGATAAATTTTAGATGAATTTCCAAAAGAAGATGCATTAATTGATTTTATAAGACATGGTACAAAAAATTGTTTATTTATTTATTTTTAATAATGTTGACGATAAAGCAAATTCCCATATTATTAGCAAAAATATTTTTTAAATTTAATATCCATGTTCCTATTTTCATATCTCGTAAGCTAAATATTATTTGGTTCTTTGGCTTCGTAAGCCAGCCTGGTTTATAATTTCTGTGTATTCATTCCCGTTAAAGATCATTTGTGCCATGTAATTAAAGTTGGTTTTAGCATATTGGGTTTTGTATTAATGAAAAGGCTTGATCAGATTTCTTGTCTTTCGGGTCTGGATATTTCCTGTGGTATGTTTCTCCCGTTATCGTTATAATAATAATTATATGTTGATTGTTTTAATGACTCGTTTCCATCTATCAGTGACTTCATTCCATTTATTGATGATTCATTTCCATTTTATCAATGGCACTTTCCCTTTTAACGAAGATTCCTTTGAACAGTTTACTTGGTGCTACAGTTAACCCCCCTAAATGCACCCCCATAAATTCACACCCTCTCTAAATGCACGCTTTCACTCATTCCCAAGCTCAGGACTTAAGAGATAAGTGCACCCCTCCATACCTGCACTGCACGGTCTTTTTTCATTCCCAACTATATAAAACCACCTCCCTAAATGCACGCACGTGACTTTCACGTGATTTTATGCATTGTTAATCGTGTAACCTTAGAAAATTTTACAAATTTGGCTTTGACTTAATTCCCAAAATCTCAATTTTTAATCAAAAAGTCACCTAATTGAGTCAATTGTAAGCATGTTAGCTGAAGTTGGCTCTCTTAATAATGGTGAAATAGTTTTTCATAAATGCTGAAATTAATTTTATTAGTTGCCAAAATTATATC